GAGAAATGAGCAGAGTCCTCCAGCAGTGCAGAGTATTTCAGGAGAGGAGAGTTAGGCAGAGAAATGAGCAGAGTCCTCCAGCAGTGCAGAGTATTTTAGGAGAGGAGAGTTAGGCAGAGAAATGAGCAGAGTCCTCCAGCAGTGCAGAATATTTCAGGAGAGGAGAGTTAGGTAGAGAAATGAGCAGAGTCCTCCAGCAGTGCAGAATATTTCAGGAGAGGAGAGTTAGGTAGAGAAATGAGCAGAGTCCTCCAGCAGTGCAGAATATTTCAGGAGAGGAGAGTTAGGTAGAGAAATGAGCAGAGTCCTCCAGCAGTGCAGAGTATTTCAGGAGAGGAGAGTTGGACATTGAGCAGATTCCTCCACCAGCACAGAGAATTTAGAGGGACAACTGTCAGGCAGCAGCACAGAGACGTGACGTGAGGCTATTGCCGTAATGGCAATTACTATTATATGGCAGTTCTGTATTTATGAAATGTATACATCCAGCTTGTGCAATACAGGAGTTTAAAGGGGAATTAGAACATGTGACCACTTTTTCATGAATCAGAGAGCAGTGATGGTGAGATCATGAATTAAACTATTGCAGCCAGACCTGCAGGACATACAGCTGAAATACATATATGTGACCAGTGTCACCTGCCAAAGGATCTATAGTTCTCTTTGGGTAGTCTTGTGATCCAGGTACTCCTCCAGATGACACCTCTATATTGAGCCTCAGCTTTACAGTTTCCGGTGTCACACCTTCTCCACTAGACAATGAATGGACCGACCATTCAGGCATTGCCCGAGGGCCCGGGGTCGGTAGGGGGCCCGGTGAGAGGCTCACTGGGCACAATTGACTTAGAGGTATCTTACCGCATCCGAGTGTAGGATACCGCATAGTATTTTAAAAAAAAATATTTGCATTCACCAAAAAGTGCTAATAAAATACAGCATGGAGTTATTTCATCAAGGCATGCTGTATTTTATTAGTGAAAAACATGCGTTAATGTTTCAGCTGTCAGAGGGGTTCCCCAGCTGAATGCAAAACAAAAGAATTGCCAGCAATTAAAAAAAATTATTTAAAAAACGGCATGGGGTCCCCCCCTCCATTCATACCAAGCCATTTGGGTCTGGTATGGATTTTGAGGGGAACCCCATGCCAAAATTAAAAAAAATGGCAAATCCATACCAGTATAGCTTTTCCTTGGGCCCCTGGACAAAAACGAGCAGTTAACCAATGCAGTGCCACTGCATGGGAAAATAAAAATTTTGCCCGGAGTCCTGCTTTAAACCAGCATATGAATTCCTTTTTTCTATAACACAAGCCTTTATTTATATCTTTCTCCACCTTTACATGCAGATCAGGGGTGGACTGACCATTTGAGTACTCGGGCACTGCCCGAGGGCCCGGGGTCAGTAGGGGGCCCCATAAAATGCCCCTGGTACCTTTTATAGGCGTGTTTTGAGTGTGGGCAAAGACACAGGGGCCCCATGATCCTCAATTGCCCGGGGGCCCCATGAGTTGTCAGTCCGCCCCTGATGCAGACTGAGCTGTCCAGCAAAAATGATGGTAAGGGCCCATTCAAACCAAAGTGCCCTGCACTGTAATGCGTGTGTTTTCATGAGCTGTAGCCTTTTCAAAATGATTGGCCTGCTACACCTCAACACACGAATGAAAATAGGTGCGTCTGCCTTTGTTTGCAGTGCCACGGGGAGGACTTCATCCATCACAGAATACCGCACCTTAATGTAGGGCAAGGGTGCATTGGTGTACAGTTCACTATGAATGTCATGAAAGCACACTAAAGGACCTAATGTATAATACTGCAACAGTCTACATATACAGTTGTGGTCAAACGTTTGCATACCCTGGTAGAAACTGAAATTTTGTCATTGATATAAACGAAGATAATTGAACAAAAATGAGCTGCGTGGTCAAGTTACCAGAAAGAAGCCTTTACTGCGCCAATGCCACAAAAAAGTCAGATTACAATATGCCCAACAACACCTTGACATTCCTCACTGGGCTTTTTTGTGGCATTGGTGCAGTAAAAGCTTCTTTCTGGCAACTCAACCATGCAGCTCATTTTTGTTTAAGTATTGTCATATTGTGCTCCTTGAAATAACTACGCCATCTTTTTCCAGAGCAGCCTTTTTTCTCTTGAGGTTGCCTGTGGGTTTTTCTTTGTATCCCGAACAATTCTTCTGCCAGTTGTGACTGCAATCTTTCCTGATCTACCTGACCTTGGCATCAAGAGAACCCCAAATTTTCCACTTCCTAATAAGTGTTTGAACAGTCCTGACCAGGGGAGGACTGACAAGTCCTGGGGCCCCCGGGCAATAGGAAATCATGGGGCCCCTGTGTCCTCGCCCACACTCACACCACACCCAAAAAAGCCTATGAAAGGTACCAGGGGCATCTCATGGGGCCCCCTACTGACCCCGGGCCTTCGGGCAGTGCCCGAGTGGCTGAATGGTCAGTCCGCCCCTGGTCCTGACTGACATCTTTAAGGTTTTGGATATCTTTTTATATCCCTTTCCATCTTTATAAAGTTCCATTACCTTATTACACAGGTCTGTTGACAGTTCTTTCCGGCTCCCCATGGCTTAGTGTCTATCCTGCTCAGTGAGCCAACAATATGCCCAACAACACCTTGACATTCCACACTGGGCTTTTTTGTGGCATTGGTGCAGTAAAAGCTTTTTTCTGGTAACTCGACCATGCAGTTCATTTTTGTTCAAGTATTGTCATATTGTGCTCCTTGAAACAACCATGCCAGAGCAGCCTTTATTTCTCCTGAGGTTACCTGTGGGTTTTTCTTTGTATCCCGAACATTTCTTCTGGCAGTTGTGGCTGCAATCTTTCTTGATCTACCTGACCTTGGCTTGTTATCAAGAGAACCCCGAATTTTCCACTTCCTAATAAGTGAGTGACTGGCATCATTAAGGTTTTGGATATCTTTTTATATCCCTTTCCATCTTTATAAAGTTCCATTACCTTATTACGCAGGTCATTTGACCATTCTTCTCTGCTCCCCATGGCTCAGTATCTAGCCTGCTCAGTGTAGCCAAGTGAGAGCTAACAAACTTATTGACTATTTATATACAGATATTAATTGCAATTTAAAAAGCCACAGATGTGAGAAATTGATCTCTAATTTGCATTTTAATCCGTGTGTGTCACCTTGTGTGTCTGTACCGAGGCAAAACATTCCAGGGGAGGGAAACTTTTGATCCGGGCTATTTGGGTGATTTCTGTCATCATTAGGATTTAAAAAGGAGCCAAACAACTATGTGATAATAAATGGCTTCTTATGATCACTCTCCTTAACCCCTTCACGCCGCCATAACACAGATATGCGGCCTCACAGAATTGGGCTTTTTTTCTGAGGGGCAGAATATCTGCGTACCTGTGTTTCTGCTGGGAACGTGCCGCACAGCACACTCCCACCACAAAGACCGGGGTGTCATTGAGAGCCCCGGGTCCAGTTCTAACGATCGGGACCTGGGACTCCCGATTCTGGGTCACATGATTGCTTTGATAGCCTCTGATTGGCTATCAAAGTGATCAGTCACTGTATAGCCCGCCCCCTTGTTTTTTTCTCTATGAATGCAGGAGAGAGATACATTGTATCTCTCTAACTCCTTGCATAGAGGAAAAAAAATGTTTGTTAGAAAAAAAAAGATAAATAAATATTAAAAAAAATAAAGAAAAAATACCTAGATCAAGGTTTGATCTAGTTCAGTGCCAGGGTTAGTGTTTTGGTCAAGGTCAGGGTCAAAGGTCCGGATTTTATTTTAATTGGTGTTAGTGTCACTGTTTTAAGTAAAAAAAACCCACAAAAAACAAAAATGCGCACTACTGTTTCTGGGCTGTACTACAGGTACAAACAACAAAGAACATACATATATATGGTATCGCTGCGATCGTCAAGAGCTGGAAAATGTATTTTGGGTTGTTCTTTGGTGGTAGGTTATGGTAGTAACAAGAAACACACAACTAATTTTTTTTTTACTATTTTGGGCCAGTTTTCCTTTGATAATAAAAAAAAAAAAAAAAATCAGGAGATATCCATTACCATTTACCACCAGATGAAAGCCCAATTTGTCCTGAAAAAAAAACACAGTATAATCCACCTGGATGTACAAAGTAGTTGTGATGATATGGACGGTTTTACTAACACATGTCAACATTGCAAAATTGTGCTTAGGCATTATTATTATTGTACAGTATTTATATAGCGCCAACAGTTCGCTCAGCGCTGTACATTACAATGGGAGACAGAACATGCAACAGTACAATAACAATACAATACACGAGGGGTTCGAGGGCCCTGCTCCTTGGAGCTTACAATCTAGGAGGGAGGGGATAGTGGTACAGGAGGAAAAGCTGTGGGGGATGGAGTGGTAGGAAGAGTGGAGGAGATCGGCAATTAGCAGGGGGCCGCGTAGGCTTCCCTGAAGAGATGGGTTTTCAGGATGCGCCTAAAGGAGAGGAGAATAGGTGATAGTCTGATGGATTGGGGTAGGGAGTTCCAGAGTATGGGTGATGCCCTGGAGAAGTCCTGGAGGCGGGCATGGGAGGAGGAGACTAGGGAACTAGAGAGAAGGAGGTCTTGTGAGGAGCGGAGAGTGCGTTTAGGGAGTGCATTAAGATTTGTTTTACCCTTAGGCGTGAAGTGGTTAAATAAAAGACAGTTTTTTGGCATGATCAGTCATATTTTTAATATCAATGCCAAAATTCCATAATTTCTGCCAGGGTATGCAAACTTTTGAGCACAACTGTCACTTTTTTTTTTGTTTCTATGTAAACTGACTTTTCCTTGAGTGTTAGCTTTGTGAATTGAGCGTTATGTATTTTAATTGTATATTTGTCAGCTGTTTGCTTGGAATTGAATGTAACTGGTAACTCCTTATCCAGTCCCTGACACAGTGCAGACCAAAACAGGCCGGCGACATCGGCAAATTCTATTATGTAAAGTGATAGTTATTATTAGACGCACAGCTCGCCTTACCTGTTGTGTGCTTGTACTACGTAAATACACGCTGTATGTAACCCCTTCCTGCTCTTCCTCTCCCTCATACTGCAAGGCCTGCAACGGAAAAAAAAAACACACATTGCGTCTTCGAAGCGAAACGATTTGCATTTACACAGCTGCTCGGGCAAACAAACAGAACAAACAAAGTTGTAAAAAACAACATATTCAAAAGCACCACAAAGAACAATAAGGGCTCATACACAGCTATACTGAGCCAGGTAACAGAAAATACATCCGTGTTTTGGTGCCCAGGAACCATAAGTGTTGTGTATACCCACCTGTACAAATTAAAGTGGAAATAAATTATATCTGAGTCAACAAACTGAAAACGCCATTTAATTAATTTTTAATATTCAGCACAAACCCCCCCATCCATCCATGTCTACATGCGTTATTGTTTAACCTCCTCGCCGTTATGATTCTTTCCGATTTTTTGTGCTGAAAGCGGTACCATTATTTTGCATGGAAATATGTTGTTTTTTATTGTAGGCTGTAATTTTTTAGGAATAACTCACTGAAATCTGTCCGAACAAGAGTCTAGTAAACATCCCGGATATGATAAAATTTGAAACACGAAATCATAAATTATAATTTAATAAATAATCATAAAAAAAATAATAATATAATAATAATAAATTAAATTCAATAATATAATCAAACCAAAAAACACTGAAATTTGAAATACGGAGGCAAATTCGCACATCGCTGAGCAAAGTCGCAAAATCGTTTTCAGTGTCTGATGAGGAATTTCCCCCACGAATCATTATCACTCAATTCTGCAAGTGGTTCTGATTTACTATCGCTGTTCTCTAGCTGATCTAAAACCGATTTTGACGTAAAGGGACGCTTTTTGGACGCCATGGACTTTTCTCAGTTTCCAGGCAGAAAGAACAGTAATAATGCAGGCAGGGCGCAGGACAAAGCACTCGGGACACAATGTATGTGAAATGCATTGAAACAGCAATGACAGCAAAAATGCCTTTTTTTAAAAATTTCAAATTTCCCACTGGTTCCAGCGCCCGTACGTCCCGACGTCACAGGGACCGGAACACGAAAGCCGGATGCCGGCATCGGCCGGAGGAGATGGCCAGGGACGCCATGTAGTTCGGGGTTACCGCTCTTGGTATTGAAATTTTACCCCGAGCTACACTCGGGAATACCGCTAGGGAGGTTAAGAAAAACACCCACCGAGCATTTCTAGGCACAGACATCTTGAATAATGGTAGATGATGCATTTACAAATATATGTAATAATATATGTCAAAATTACTTTTTTATATGGAAAAAAAATCTTTAAAAAAATCTTTTATATGTATTTTGTAATATATAAAAAATGCATCATATATTATATATATTATATATATATATATATATATATACACATACACATATACACACACACACACACACACACACACACACACACACACACACACACAGTGAAGGAAATAAGTATTTGATCCCCTGCTGATTTTGAATGTTTGCCCACTCACAAAGAAATGATCAGTCTAAAATCGAATGTTCGGTGTATTGTAACACTGAGAGACAAAATAGCAACAAAAAAATTGAAGAGAAATGCATGTAACGAATTATGCACTGATTTTCATGTTCATGAGAGAAATAAGTATTTGATCCCCTATCGTTCAGTTGGTTTTCTGGCTACCAGGTGTCTTACATACAGGTAACAAGCTGAGATTAGTAGCAGTCTCTTAAAGGGAGTGCTGCTAATCTTATTTTGTTACCTGTATAAAAGACACCTGTCCACAGGAGCAATCAAACAATCAGATTCCAAACTCTCCACCATGGCAAAGACCAAAGAGCTGTCCAAGGATGTCAGGGACAAGATTGTAGACCTACACAAGGCTGGACTGGGCTACCAAACTATCGCCAAGCAGCTTGGTGAGAAGGTGACAACAGTTGGTGCAATCATTCACAAATGGAAGAAACACAAAACAACTGTCAGTCTCCCTAGGTCTGGTGCACCATGCAAGATCTCACCTTGTGGAGTGTCAATGATCCTGAGAACAGTGAGGAATCATCCGAGAACTACACGAGGATCTTGTCAATGATCTCCAGGCAGCTGGGACCACAGTCACCAAGAAAACAATTGGTAACACACTACGCCGACAAGGATTGAAATCCCGCAGTGCCCACAAGGTCCCTCTGCTCAAGAAAGCACATGTCCAGGCCCATCTGAAGTTTGCCACTGAACATCTGAATGATGCAGAGGAGGACTGGTTCAAAGTGTTGTGGTCAGATGAGACCAAAATCAAGCTCTTTGGTATCAACTCAACTTGCTGTGTTTGGAGGAGGAGGAATGCTGCCTATGACCCCAAGAACACCATCCCAACTGTGAAACATGGTGGTGGAAACATTCTGCTTTGGGGGTGTTTTTCTACTAAGGGGACAGGACAACTGCACTGCATCAAAGGGACGATGGACGGAGCAATGTACCATCAAATCTTGGGTGAGAACCTTCTTCCCTCAGCCAGGGCATTGAAAATGGGTCGTGGATGGGTGTTCCAGCATGACAAGGACCCAAAACACACGGCCAAAGCAACAAAGGAGTGGCTCAAGAAGAAGCACATTAAGGTCCTGGAGTGGCCTAGCCAGTCTCTAGTCCTTATTCCGATTGAAAATCTGTGGAGGGAGCTGAAAGTTCGAGTTGCCAAATGTCAGCCACCAAACCTTAATGAGGATCTGCCAAGAGGAGTGGGCCAAAATCCCTCCTGAGATGTGTGCAAACCTGGGGGCCAACTACAGGAAACGTCTGACCTCTGTGATTGCCAACAAGGGATTTGCCACCAAGTACTAAGTCATGTTTTGTGAAGGGGATCAAATACATATTTCCCTCATGAACATGCAGATCAGTCATCATTTGTTAGACATGCATTTCTGCTGAATTTGTTGTTGCTATTCTGTCTCTCAGTGTTACAATACACCAAACATTCGATTTCAAATATGTGTCAATATATTTGGGAAGAATATTTTAAAATATATTTCAAATATATTTTTCCTCCATGTGGGCTGTGGCATTTATTTCCTAGAATCCGTCTGCCCTCAGCTCAGGAATGCAGGTAAGAGGGGGTCCTTAGCTGAGAAAGCCCCTCCTTCTGAAGAAAGAAAAAAATGCCCATTAAGAATCCTGGGATGTATAACATCATTTTGACCTAGGCCACAAACAAGGAAGAAACTGAAGAAATGTGAAAAAAAAAGTTTAAAACAAGTAAATATATTCCTTCCTACCTATTTACTAATGCTAGCCGCATAAGGAATAAAATAAATAGTTAAAGTGGTTATACACTACATATACCCAGTAAAGTGACTGGCCTCAGGTGATACACAGACAATAAATAAATCCTCCTACATAAGTTGTACCAGTTTATCTGCAGTCTTCTCTTCCTTACATCTAGTCAATGTCCGGAATTTTTAAAGCTTGTCTGAGCTGTCAGAAAGCAGGGGGCGGGGAGCTGGAGTTACACTCTGCAGAGCTCAGTGATAGGAGCTCAGAGAGCTGATTGGAGTGAAGGGACACCTCCCTCCACACAGCACACAAGAACAGAGCTGAGGCTGTCAATCACAGACTGTGTGCTGGAGGTCCCTCCCCGGTCACCTTTTTTCTCTTGGTGTCTGGAAAACTTGTCAAAAGCGATTCATACTGACAGCAGACAGAAATGACACTTAGTACTCTGGATTGAGACATGTACACACTTTAGAGGGATATGTCTTGTTCATATTTCATGTCTGAGGTTTACAATCACTTTAAATGTTGAATGGGAGAGTTTAGCTTCACTCTAATTATAGGAGAAGGCTGTATGCAGGTGTACACAGCTCCAAGCATGCTCAGGCTGGGTTCACACTGGTGTGCTGCGGTTTGGCAGCAACACAGGTGTATGCGTAGTCTATGTGTGTTTTACCCGCGTTTTTCAGCTGTAGTCCCATTGACTTCCATTAAGTTGCACCTTTTTGCTGCATTTTCTGAAAGCACACCAAAGATGTGGCATGCAGGACCTGCAGGTGAGCATTCAAAAAGTGCGGCAAAAAACGCACAACCTAATAGAAGTCAGTGGGACTGTGGCTAAAAACGCATGCAAAATACACATGCACCTGCGCTGCAGACAAACTGCTGCACACCATTGTGATTGTGAACCCTTAGAAGTATTTTCTGTGCTACACACTGCTTTGATTGTTCAAGTCCCCATCAGCCTCAGGTGGCATATGGTGGGGGGGGAGGCACTCTGGCTTGACCAAGGGTCTCCAAACTTTTGAAATAAAGAGCCAGTTTACTGCCCTTCAATCTTTAGGGGGGCCAGATTGTGGCCAGTGGGAGTAGAAAATGACCTGCCATCAGTGGGAATAAACAATACCCTAAGCTTAGTGGTCAGTGGGAGGAACAGTGTGCCATCATTGGTGCCAGTGGGGTAATTAGTTCCCCATTTTTGGTATCAGTGGGAGGAACAGTGCCCCGTCGCTGGTGTCAGTGGAAGGAACAGTGCCCCATCATTGGGATCACTAGAATGAACAGGGCCCAGTTGCCCATTAGGAGGAACAGTCGCTGGTGTCATTGGGAGGAACAGTGCCCCGTCGTCGGGTCAGTGGGAGGAACAGTGCCCCGTCGTCGGGGTCAGTGGGAGGAACAGTGCCCCGTCGTCGGGGTCAGTGGGAGGAACAGTGCCCCGTCGTCGGGGTCAGTGGGAGGAACAGTGCCCCGTCGTCGGGGTCAGTGGGAGGAACAGTGCCCCGTCGTCGGGGTCAGTGGGAGGAACAGTGCCCCGTCGTCGGGGTCAGTGGGAGGAACAGTGCCCCGTCGTCGGGGTCAGTGGGAGGAACAGTGCCCCGTCGTCGGGGTCAGTGGGAGGAACAGTGCCCCGTCGTCGGGGTCAGTGGGAGGAACAGTGCCCCGTCGTCGGGGTCAGTGGGAGGAACAGTGCCCCGTCGTCGGGGTCAGTGGGAGGAACAGTGCCCCGTCGTCGGGGTCAGTGGGAGGAACAGTGCCCCGTCATTGGGGTCAGTGGGAGGAACAGTGCCCCGTC